TTACACAGAGTCAAAATTAAGATGTGACCCAAGACTACCTTATTAAAATTCCATTGGACTAAATCCAGAAACTACAGGGATAAGGAAAAGAGCTATAGGTGAAGAATAAATAATTATAAAAACATGACAAATTTATTGAGTGTGTTTATTGTTTCCAAATCCTTCTAAAAAGCAATGTATTTTCAATCCTCAAATCAGTGTGCATGAGTTTCCAAACTGGGATGTTCAATGGCTGAAGCAGAGTGGGCAGTGAGTATAAATAAGAGCCCCCAATGATTGGGTAGGGACTGTCTGGCCTACAGGCCTTATAAGTGAAATCATTTATTTGGTCTGGCCCTGCTAAGGCATTATGGATGAATTAATTAAATGTTTGACCAAACATAGCAGGCTAATTTTTAATTTGATAACTTTGTATGGCCTGTGAATGATGTTAAAAATATCCAAATGGCCGTTGGCAAAAAATAGGTTCCTCACCCCTAAAAAGGATACAGCCTCTCAACAACCCAGACAACATCCTACTTGGTGTTATCTTCTTGGTTACATCTTCCTTTTAAGAGCTCTCCTCATGGGGTCTCCAGAACTTCAACTCTAGGTCAGACCGGAAGATTGAGATTGAAGGTGGATTTCAGACAAAGAGACTTAACTATCCTGCTGGTCCTGAGCATCCTGCATGTGCTGCCCTACATATCTTGGGAAGCACTAATTAGAGTGTGGAACCAACATAGAATAATGTTAAAACGTGACTTTTTAGTCAAAGAACTAGAGCTATGTTTTCAAAGTATGAGTTATAATCCTGCAGTGGGTTCTGAAATCACTTTATAGGCCTGTGGCCACATTTTTTTTAAGTGGACAAAGTAGAACAGAAGAATATAGAAAATAAAATATCAGAACACATTACACAAAGCAAGAATAAGTATTGTGAACTTGTTTTAGGAGTGTGTGTATGTAAATACAGATACACATACATATATACATATATAAACACACAGTGACTACATATATACACAGTACTTATCCTATATAATAAAGAGGTTATATGCAAATTGACCCTCATGCCCTCACAAAAAGATGGCCATCCCCCATGTGGTCAAAGATAGCTGCCACAAGATGGCCAGCAGTGGAGGGTAGTTATGGATGATCAGGCCAGCAGGGGGGACCAGTTAAGGGTGACCAGGCTGGCAGGGACTGGCAGGGGAGCAGTTAGGTGACAATCAGGCTGGTAGAAGAGTGGTTAGGGGTAATCAGGCTGGCAGGCAGAAGTGGTTAGGAGCAATCAGACAGGCAGGGAGGCGAGAAGTTGGGAGCCAGCAGTCCTGGATTGTGAGAGGGATATTCGACTGCGGTTTAGGGCCAATCGCTGTGTGGTCCCAGATTGGAGAGGATGCAGGCTGGGCTGAGGGACATCCCCACGCTCAGTGCACAAATTTTGTGCACCAGGACTCTAGTAAATGTATAAATGGGTTCCACATTCTTTCTCTGTCTAAGGAAAAACTTATTCTATTATCCCAAACTGGGGCAAGAAATGTTTTTTAACTAATGTCAATGCAATGAAGTCATTAGCAAGTGTTTCCTTTATGACTAGTCACAATGGTATTTTATTGAAAATTAGCAGTTCACCTGATAATCATATTGTCAAGGCCCAGGGCAGGCTGCCCTAAGCTATCCCACAATGGCATATTGATTAATTTGAACTAAAATCACTGGAGGAGAAGGAAAAACTCTCTGACTCTCCTCTGTGTGCTCAAAAACAGGAAATAAATATTTATACAGGTGTTCTCCCTGCCCCTGAGGGACTGAAAGGCAACATTATCATAAAAGGTATAAAATCCAGGGTTGAGAAAATGTGTTTAAATAAACCTTGTAATGCCCAAGCTTTGTGCACGTTCCTCATCGATGAATCCCCAAACGTGCTTAGATTCCTTTCTAATGATCACTTTGTTTGTCTTGTTTATTTTCTCAAAAATATCTTGTTTCTTTGTTTAGAAAGTATTGGTAGGTCCTAGTTCAATCATTTCTTTGAGCCCCATTTTATGATGTCAGCATTAAGTGGTGAATCTCCTTTACACATATTAAATTATTTTTTCTTCTGTTGATGTAGTCTTGTATCAATTTCTTATTTTATAACTAGTCCAGTCATAAGAACTAAAGAAGCATAGTGTGGGGAATTCTCTCCCACTCTGCAACAATAGTAAATGACTAATATTTTCAAAAAAGGAAAGAACATTTTGAGTAGTGAAATTAGTTTTTTAAAGTTTCCTCCCTATTTCCTCTGCATTTTTCTGTTATCTATAACAAGCATGCATACATTGTCTTTTATAATCAGAGAAAAGTTATATATATATATATATATACATATATATATATATATATATATATATATCTTTGAAACCAACTGTACATCAATGCATGGAAGAGGAAAAATTTTTTTTTTTTTTTTTTTTTTTTTTTTTTTTTACCACAAAGACCTTGGGAGAGGAACCAAAAAGTAGAAAAATGTGGAACAACTTCTAAGAGCAAAATAACCGCTGGTGGTTTTGGTTTTTGATAGGTTTCTTGACTGTGCAGTAAGTGCCTAGTTTGTGAACATTTTACAACCGACTGAAGTGCTTGAAGTCAGTAAAAATAAATAAAATAAAATGTTTAAATATATTCAACCTTTATCACTCCATAAATGTTTAAAATGGCAAACAGCTACAATAAACTTCACCAGACTTGGCCATTTCTCAGCAGGAAAGAGCTCTCGATACCATTGCTGATAAAGGCGGCAGCTTAAAAGTGTTCTTTAGTCGTTAATTTTGAAGGCAATATTTACAAACCACCAGCATTGGTTGACATTGAAAAAGTTGTTTTGGTCCTTTGGCCCTTTGAGTCACACCTACTAATTATTGATTCCAATTAAGTGTGCAGTAAAAGGAAATTAAGCAAAAAATATTGTACCCTCAATGCGTTCTCTCTCAAAATTCATTTGGTTTGAGGAAATTTTATTGCCATTGCAAATATTTTTGCTACCTATCACCAAGAATAACTCTTTAAATGACTTACTCAGCACTCCAAAATTACTGGAATGGTGCAGTAAGAGAAATATTGAGAGCAATCATAATAATTAAGAGTTGCCGATTTTTGCCCAGCCAGTGTGGCTCAGTAGTTGAGCACTGACCCATGCAACCAAGAGGTTACCGGTTCCCAGTCAGGGCACATACAAGGGGTTGCAGGCTCAATTCCCCATAGGGGGCATGCAGGGGACAGTCCCAACAATGATTCCCTCTCCCTTTCCCTTCCTCTCCGAAATCGATAAAAATATACTTTAAAAAAAAGTTGCTAATTTTTAAGCATAGATTATGTATGAGGAACTAGGTCACAAGGTCTGCATACTTCATCTATTTAATCCTTACTGTGATCTATGAATCACACATTCACAATATTCCCATTTTATAGATGAGGAAACTAAGACCCAGAGCGAGTGGGGCACAGACTTGGGTCGCAACCCACAGGTTGAGAACTGCTAGCAGGGTCGCCTAAGACCATCAGAAAACACAGATATTTACATTAAGATTCATAACAGTAGCAAAATTACAGTTATGAAGTAGCAACGACAATAATTTTAAGGTTGGGGTCACCACAACATGAGGAACTGTATTAAAGGGTCGTGGCATTAGAAAGATTGAGAACCACTGCTCTATAGTGTTTATTTAAGTAGTTTGTTAAAGCCTCTCCTGCTCCTCCGCCCTCCACTTGATTGAACTGTTTTTCATAACAGTTGGATTCCTTCCTCTATACAAACATTGCCACGTGAGGTTGAAATGACATTAGCTCAGGAGTGAAGGTCTCCAGTTTTCTCCTGCCTCAATTAGATTCTGCCTTCTTGCCCATTATGGTAGGCTGAATAATGACCCCTCCTCCTGAGATTTCTGTACTGTAATCCCTAAAAGCTGTGGAGATATTACCTTATATGAAAAAAAACAAACCAACAACAACAAAAAAAAACTTCTCAGATGTGTTAAGGATCATAAAATAGGATATCATCCTGGATTAATCACTAGGTGCTTTTAAAATGCAGGCAGGGTGTGAGAAGTAGAGGGTGAGAGTGCCAACAGAATCTGAGGTTGAAGTGATGTAGTTTGAAGACTGAATAAGGGGTCATAAACCGAGGACTGCAGGTCCCCTCTAGAAGCTGAGAAAGACCAGGAAATGGATTTCCCCCTAAAGCTTTCAGAAGGAATGCAACTCTGAGGACACTGCGGTCATCTCACAAGACCCAATCTGGACTTGTGACTTCTAAACTATAAGATAATGAATCTGTGTTGCTTAGGTAAGACATTGAGTTTGTGGTAATAGATTATAGAAGCAATAGGAAACTAACACATCCATCTCGCAATACCTTCCTTTCTCCACAAAGAATAGCAGTGTTTTCCTAAAGCGTGAACAAAAATACAATCTTGCATCTCTGCAGGTGCCCACAGCTGTTTAACATATCATCAGAATATTTCCAATGTGGTAAACTGAAAATAAGGTTTTTCTGGACCTGAGAATACTGAGGGGAAATATCTATGCAAGACATTTGCATGCTCAGAGCAACACTCATGGTATACAAATGGAATGTAATAGGAACCAATTCTGTAGGTTTGTCAAATGCCAGGTTCATTGCAGGCAGCAATGTGGGTACGAGAACTGTTCTTTAACATTTCACTTTTGTGAAATGTCAACATTATCAGAGGACCAATAAAGAGTTAAATATTTTAATATAATTCTCTGGAAAATATAGATATAATTAGTTAAGTAGTAGAGGTTCTGGTTTTATTTTTATTAATTTCTAATACTGAGGAAGAGTATAAATCTTAAGGGGATAAAAATCAGAGTCTGATTAATTTTTTTTACAAAGCAACCCAGGAAGGCTTAAGTGCTATTAATATTTATTGATGAAGCTAATTATAACATTAATACATAAGTAGCTATGAAGTAATGCAATTATGTAAATATGCAAATATACCTCAGCCAACATATAGCACCAAACAAAACCAGTGTTTATTAAAACAAACCTTCCTTCAAAATATACTTTTTCTTAAAATTCTGGAGTGTTTCTTTTTCTTATACACAATTATGATGCTTTGCTCTATTAAGAAATATCACAACTTGATTGATTTTATTTGTTTAGAATTTGAAGGATGATAAGACATAGACTTCCCATGGTTAGATTGAAAATGAAAAAGCAAAGCAAAACATATCATACAGTAAATGCACAGTTAGTCAGTTGGTGGTTTACTTTTCATAAAATTCTTGATGATTTTCTTATACACGGAGGTATTTGGGTCCAGGCAAATTTTCTTTCCATTCTTCAGTGTGACTCTGCCAGGGAAAAGAGAAGGAGGTGAGCCCCTTAGTCTCGGGGTGCAGGGGGGCCATGGGCAAAAGTGGAGGAGGCAGAGGGTGGGCACAAGCAAGGGAGAGGACTCACATCATTTGGGTGTTGGGGCAGTGGAGTCCAGCCCGGATCAACTCCATGCTGGCAATGTGCTTGGGATGGACTCCGGTGCTGGTCTTCACACACAGGCATTGCAGGTCCCCACCTCCTTCTTGAGGTTCTGCTGGGGAAAACGGGGGTGCGGGAGGGGGTGTAAGGGAGGGAGGGAGTGGTGACTCCTAGAATGACTCCTCAGGGATCTTTCCCAATGCGTTCAGCCATCATTTCCCCACGCACAAACCATACCTCCTGCAGTAAGAAGCAATGCTGCCTAGATGGGAAGTGCAGGGGACAGCGCCTGCGTACACCTAACTTTGCTCAGTAAAGCGTGGTGGATAGCATAGTGGATACCAGCCCCCCTCCCCTCCCTCTGGGTCCTGCCCGGGCTTCCCCTGCCCCTCTCTGGCCCTCCCCTCCTCCCTTCTGTTCTCACTGGTGTTCTCACCGATGACTTGGGCGACCACAGCCTGCAGGAGCAGCAGCCCCAAGAGCAGCAGCACAGGGCTGGGCCAGGGGCGGGAGGCGCGGGAGCCAGCTTGGAGGCTCATGTCTGCGGAGGTGCCAACTGGAGAGCAGAGTAACAGGGCAATCCGGACTGGGGTTCTACAGGCCAGTGGTTCTGAGACTCTCCAGCCCGGTTTTTATCCTCAGGGCCTCTCCAGTCCGGAAGCCTGGGGTGGAGGGTGAGGAGCTGTGGTGCAGAAGCCAGAAGAAGTGTTGGGCTCTGGCCAGCCAAGATTGGGGAAGGGGAGAAGGCGCGGGGGGGGGGGGGGGGGGGGGGGGGGGCGGGAGCAGGGAAGAAGAAGTTAAAAAAGCTCAGGTCAGCTGTCTGGGCTGCAAGCTGGTAGCAGGATCCACACCCCAAACCGATTTCATATACATGCACATTTGTGGAATTAGAAACAGGTCTTGAACCTTACAAAATACATATTCTTTGTGATGTGCAATGGTAGAGTTCCCTGCAGTCACCAGGTTGCAAGTTGCACAGCATGGACCCTCCGGACTGAGAGTTTCCTCTCCCAAGGGCCCGCTGCCTTACTAAGAACGGCTCTTTGCTCCTGCCTTTCTTGTTGATGACCCTTAAGCTGAGTTGAGTGTGTTAAAGGTGTGTGGTGTATCACTGCTTTCTGCCACTTAAAGGTGGAATTGGATGGCTGGGCAATGACTCAGTCCTGAATGTCACCTGGCTGTGGAAGGCTTCCTGAGTCTCTTGAACGAGGTCCGCCAGCTCTACCAACCCACCATCCAATTCACTCCAGGAAGCAAGGTCTACACCCTCACCAATCCTCTTACTCTGAGAAAAACGGTGAAAGTAATATCTGAATGCATGCTTTCTGTAAAGCATGCTGCCCAGGTGTTTCTCCATTCTGCTCAGCCAAGAAGAGAAGTCAGGAAGGAGAATTTGCAGGCCCCATCCCCCAGTGCCTGCTGTGACCCGGTGTCAGGGTGCGATGGGCTGTGCTGTTGGTAGGACCAGGGATGCCCTCAGGACACTGAGCATCTGGGCCTTGTGTGGGAAGACATGGAGGACAGGATGGAGGGCCTGGGCCGGAATCCTGCACAGGAAAGGTCGGGAGATTAACAGAGACCATCTTCCCTTCCCTGAAAAAGAATGACTTTGGCTTTTGATCTGGGCAAAGTACCCCATCATCGCACAGGCGGAGGCTCTCCGTCTCCCTGACTCACAGTGCTGCAGGACATCAGGAGCCACAGAGTGGAACTAGGTGATGGCTTAATGCTCAGCAGGCCCAGACTTCTGCAGGGATGTGCAATTTAATTCCTGGGCCTACCATGTTCTTTCTCTTACTCCCTCCCCCACCACCTGCTCTTTCAGCTGGCTAAGTCCTATTCATATTTCTGTGTCAGCTTAAATACTACTTCCTCAGAGGGCCTTCCCTGACAGCTGTGGTTAATTTTGTTCTCTGTGGTTGTATCTTGCAGCACCCTCTGTTTTCCTGTTTCTCAGAGATCATACAGACACGCACACGGGTTATACAAAGAGATATGCATGTGCCTCTATGTTTAAAATGATTTCTTTTCCTAAATGAGAAGCTCCATGAGAGATTATAATGTTTGTCATTATCACACTGAGCTACAGGGACTCAGTGTAAAATTACCACATTTAGTAAAGACAATAAGTCTTTATTATCTTTGAAACTAGTGATGTCAAGGCTTTGACTTGTTCATGTATCTGTTTCTTCATGCAATAGGGGTATACCTCTTTCTTAGTAAGTGCTGCATGTGGGTGTGATTATTTGTCAACTTGTCTGCCTCTCTCACCAGACAGTGATCTCTTCAAGGGCGATTCTCTGTGAATTACACATTTTCATATCCTGCATCCAAAACAATGGCAGATACAGAATATGTTTACGGGACTGAAGCTGGAAATCCCAAGTCAGGTTAGCGGCAAAGGGAATGAATAGGAAAGGTGGTTTTGGACAAACTTGTCCCCCAGATTTCAATATTTAAAGTGTAAAGGAATCCAGAGAGTAGTGACAATTAAATCAGTCTTTCTGTATCTAACTAGAATAATTCTATATGTGTACACACACACAAAAAGACACCTACATCTCAGGAGTTATTAGCATAGTGTAAAAACTGTGACATGTCTCAGGAGCTGGTCCTGTTGGAGTTCTCTAGGAAATGACTCCAAAATTAATGAGATGGGAAACTATTTTGAATTATAAGAGAAAAACTGACAATGACTACTCTTCTCATTTACTTCTTTATTACATGTTTATTTTGATATATTTTGGGTTAACTATTAAATGCATTTATTTTATAGACAAACCATTTTAAGACATTGAACTTATAATGGTGAGGAGATTATACAAAGGAACCTAAATATTAATAATTCCAGATTTGTAAACATGAATGTTCCCAAAATTCCATGTATAAGTTGAAGAAGGTGAACTTCCTTATTCTTTGAAACTTATTGTAGTATAGGCAGCATGCTATTCATGTATCAAGTTCTATTTTGTGTGCCAATAACTCTGTAATATATAATGTAATTCTTCAGTAGAGAAAGAAGAATCAAGGAAAGCAGTGTGGTTTGGTGGTTAAGAGCATATTTTCAAATCCCCACACTGTCACCTACTTACTTATCTGACCTTGTGGCAAATTTCTTAATTTCTTTGAACTTCACTTTTCTTCTCTGAAATACTGGGGGTGTTAATCCTATATAATAAAGAGGTAATATTTAAATTGACCCTCATACCCTTGCAACAAGATGCCTGCACCCATGTGGTCAAAGATGGCACCACAAGATGGTTGGGGGAGGGTAGTAGTGGACGATCAAGCCAGCAAGGGAGGGCCGGCAGGAGAGCAGTTAGGCATAGATCAGGATGGCAAGGGAGTGGTTAGGGGGTGATCAGGCTTGCAGGCAAGCAGTTGGGAGCCAGCAGTCCCAGATGGTGAAAGGAACTGTGGGATCTGGCCTAAACCAGCAGTTGGACATCCCCTGAGGGATCCCAGATTGGAGAAAGTGTAGGCTGGGCTGAGGGACACTACTCCTGCAGTGCATGAATTTCATGGACCGGGTCTCTAGTAGTAATAATAATAAATAATCACTAACATTTATATATGGGTTATTGTGTGACACGCTTTATTTTCACTGTTTGAATTTATTAATTCCTTTAATTTTCACATCAACTCTATGAAAGAAGCAAATATTACTATCCAATTTTAGAGATGAAGAAAATTAGGAATAGAGAAGTTAACTAACTTGCCCAAAGTTAAACAGCTAGCAAGTGGTAAAGCTGAGTTACCCAGTTATTCTCTCTCTAGAGGACATGCTTTCAATTAGGTCATTTCTATCTTGCAAGAATTATTTACTTCATGCCTGTAAAACACTTTATAGATCTGCAGAGCACAGTACCACATTCAGCCAAGAGTTAGGGAGTAAGCTATATATTATATTTTGAAACTAGGCTTGCTTACTTTTATCTTCTCTCTGCCATCTATTAACCAGCCTTCTCAGAATAAAATGAGACTTTTTTAAAAAATATATATTTTATTGATTTTACACAAAGAGGAATTGAGAGGGATAGAGAGTTGATGAGAGAGAAACATCAATCAGCTGCCTCCTGCACACCTCCCACTGGGGATGTGCCCGCCACCGAGGTACATGCCCTTGACCGGAATCGAACCCGGGACCTTTCAGTCCACAGGCCGATGCTCTATCCACTGAGCCAAACCGGTTTTGGCAAAAAAAAAAACCAAACCAAAACAAAACAAAACAAAAAACAAAAAAAAAATGAGACTTTTTAAGACAGAATGGGAAACATATCCGCATTTAATACAGCATGACTAGGTATTCTGGATAAAGAAAAACTGCAGAAAGATAAGGCTGCAAACTCCTACTACTCTAGGGAGATTAAAAAAAAAATTGACAGAAAGTAAATAGATTAAGCAGCTGACTCATCACCTTCCAAAATTTTCTGGATTATCTTCTTGATCATGGGAGCGTTTGGATCCAGGCAGATCTTCTTCCCATTCTTCAGCGTGGCTCTGCAAGAGAATAAATAATTTTGTGCCTGTCCTGTCCTATCAGAGGAGATTGATGGGGCTGAACAAATAGCAGTGATGAGGATTGAGGTAGAGATTTTCCTAATGAGTTAATAGTATAAAAGCAGGGACTTACATCAGTTCAATATTGGGGCAATGGGGTCCTGCCTTGAACATCTTCAAAGTTTGGATGTTCTTGGGATGAATGCCAGAGGTGGTCTGTATACACGTGCAGCGAAGTTCTGCATAGCGCTCCTCTTGCACACTTCCAGCTGGGATAGAAACTGAGAAGCAGTCATGAGTACCTTTAATATCTAGGGCCTGATTCCTCAGGGACCTTCTTTGTGAATTGTAGCTCACACGCCACTGTGAATATGATCTGAAACCCATAGCAAAGAGCCAGAGCTAATGCCAGGCATATGGTAGGTGCCCATTAAGCTTAGCTCCTCCATTTAGAGTTGTTAGTATAATGGCAATCCCCAACCCCAGGAGCTGGTCCTGTTGGAGTTCACTAGGAAATGACTTCAAAATTAATGAGATGCAGAGTTATTTTAAATTATGAGAGAAAACTGACAATGTCTACTATCCTAATTTACTTCTTTATTACATGTTTATTTTGGGTTAACTATTAAATACATTTATTTTATAGACAAACCATTTTAAGGCATTAAACTTATAATGGTGAGGAGATTATAAAAGGAAACCTAAAGAATGCCAGATTTGTAAACTAACTGCCTAATACACAAATGTTCCCAAAATTCCATGCACAAATTGGGGGAGGTGAACTTCCTTATTCTCTGATACTTATTGTAGTATAGGCAGCATGCTATTTATGTGTCATGCTATTTTGTGTGCCAATAACTCTGAGATATATAATCTAACCTCTTCATTAGAGAAAGAAGAATCTAGGAAAGCAGTGTGATTTGGTGGTTAAGAGCATATTTTCAAATCCCCACTCTGTCACCTACTTACTTATCTGATCTTGTGGCAAATTTCCTAATCTCTTTGAACTTTACTTTTCTTCTCTGAAATATTGGGGGTGCTAATGGTAATAATAATAAATAATCACTAACATTTATATATGGGTTATTGTGTGACATGCTTTATTTTCACTCTTTGAATTTATTAACTCTTAATTTTCACATCAACTTTATAAAATAAGCAAATATTATTATCCCATTTTAGAGATGAAGAAAATTAGGACCAGAGAAGTTAACTAACTTGTCCAAAGTTAAACAGCTAGCAAGTGGCAAAGCTGAGTTACCCAGTTATTCTCTCTTTAGAGGAAATGCTTTTAATTAGGTCATTTCTATTTTGTAAGAATTATTTATATCATGCCTGTAAAACACTTAATAGATCTACATCTTGAGAGTTATTCATAGAGTTTAGCTATCATTCTAGTACATTAAAAACAGATTATCAACTAGTGACTTTAGTTGGTAAAAAAGAATAATTAAGGCTTCCCCTCAACAATTATGTTTAAATTAATAATATATGACAACAAAGTAATAACAAATTTTGATTTTATGCTAATAGTGCTGTAAGACTAGTGTGGTTATAAATTTAATGGATTAAGAAATAAATTAAATTTCTGTTTATTATAAAATAATTTGCAGCCTGGCAAAGTTTTAATTATAGTACTTATTTGCAAGATTGACTTTAATACTAAAATTATAACTTTGCAACTATAAACTTAATATGATTATGTACAAAGATGCCAAGGTAAAATATTTAATACCAAGCAGAATCTGTATTATTATTTTTATTATTATTAATACTGGAGGTTTTGGTAGAGCTTGTTAATGCTTTTTAGCACATTATTTTTGCCTACGTGTATAAAATACGTCCACTTAAAAATAAATAATCACTGTCTACAAGTCTTACACTTTACCACTTTCTAAATTTTAGGGCTTGAAAGCAAAAAAATAAACATTAGAAAACTCAGAGAATTCTCTTCAACAAGATATCCTAGGACTAAGACAATGAAAAACTCTACTAAGTGCCTACATATATTAACAAACATTTATTGAGCAAGTACTCTCTACTGGGCTCTGTGTGATTCCTAATATCACTGGCCACTATGGACTCTACTAAATCGCCATGGGCACATCTAGTCTAAGAGCTAAATAGAGCAAGATAAGTTAACACAAAAGTACTATTTGGAAAGAAAATTTTATACAAAGAAATGCAAAGCACAGTACCATATTCAGCCAAGAGTTAGGGAATAAGCTATATGTTATATTTTGAAACTAGGCTTGCTTACTTTTATCTTCTCTCTGTCATCTATTAACCAGCCTTCTCAGAATAAAATGCGACTTTTTAATACAGAATGGGAAACATATCCACATTTAATACAGCATGACTAGGTATTCTGGATAAAGAAAAACTGCAGAAAGATAAGGCTGCAAACTCCTACTACTCTAGGGAGATTAAAAAAGCAAAATTGACAGAAAGTAAATAGATTAAGCAGCTGACTCATCACCTTCCAAAATTTTCTGGATTATCTTCTTGATCATGGGAGCGTTTGGATCCAGGCAGATCTTCTTCCCATTCTTCAGTGTGGCTCTGCAAGAGAATAAATAATTTTGTGCCTGTCCTGTCCTATCAGAAGGGATTGATGGGGCTGAACAAATAGCAGTGATGAGGATTGAGGCAGAGGTTTCCCTAATGAGTTAACAATACAAAAGCATGGACTTACATCACTTCAACATTGGGGCAATGGGTTCCTGCCTTGAACATCTTCAAAGTTTGGATGTTCCTGGGATGAATGCCAGAGGTGGTCTGTGTACACATGCAGCGAAGTTTAGCATAGCGCTCCTCTTGCACACTTCCAGCTGGGATAGAAACTGAGAAGCAGTCATGAGTAACTTTAATATCTATGGGCTTGATCCCTCAATGTCTTTCTTTGTGAACTGTAGCTGGCTTACAGCTCACAAGCCACTGTGAATATGATCTGAAACCCATGGTAAAGAGCCAGAGCTGAATGCCAGGCATATGGTAAGGTGCCCATTAAGCTTAGCTCCTCCATTTAGAGTTGTTAGTGTAATGGCCTCCCCCAGCCTCAGGATTACTGGGACAGCTGACACCCTCCCTCCACCCTCTCCAACACACACACACACACACACACACACACACACACACACACACACACACACACAGCAACAGCAGAAGCAGCCACAGAGGAGGGGAAGCGGGAGCTCCACCTTCAGCTTCCTCTAAGTTTCTATTTCCTTCTCCGAGGGTGAAGGGAACCATCGCAGTCAGGAGCAGTGACAGCTGCAGCAACACCTGTAAGACAGGAGCAGAGGTGGCCCTGGGTCTGAGGTTCATGGCGGAGAGAACTGAGCTATAAACCTGGAGTTGTGCCCAGAACCTGGAGACCTCAGCGTGGACTGTTCCCAGGAGTTTGCAGCTAAGTGGCTTTCTGGCTCTCCTGGTGTCTTTTATACACACTCCCATGTGGCCAGTAAGGGCAAAAGGGATGGGACAAGGGAAATGAACGCATGTGGTAATATTTGTATAAGGGTAGTTATACCAACCCAGATAAACACCAGGCCAGTTAAAGTTCCTGCTAAATTTCATTCTGCGCATTACTTCACACACCCTCTCCCACTTTCTCAATGCTGATCTTCCTTACACATAGTTAACACTGCACTTAGGTAAGAACTAGACTGAAATGTTACATATCTCTTCTTTGTGTAACAATGAAATATGCCCGTCTTTCCTATAATGTAATTTATGTGAGGCCGACTAGTGAATAGTAACATGTGACTCTTTGAAAAGAGAATTAACTTCCCTTTCTAGCTGCCTCGAAAGGCAGGTGTTTCTATCTTGGTTGTTGATAATCAGTGGGATTCCTTTGCAGGGTGTGGATGAAATCAACTGGTCACCACCAAAGCCTCACTTATGTGGTGTTTCTGTGTGTGTGTGTGTGTGTGTGTGTGTGGGTGGGTGGGTGTTTGTGTGTGTTTTCCTGTCTTTGAAATGTATTACTTGTTTATAATTTTATTCAGAAAGTAGAAGCAAATTTATCCTCCCTTGTGTTATATATATATATAAATACTTGTTTCTACTGTTTGAATATACCTTGAAAAGCAAGACCCAGCATCATTATTTTTCCTTTTCCTTTTCTTTTTTAAAAATATATTTTTATTGCTTTCATAGGGGAAGGGAGAGGGAGAGAGAGATAGAACTATCAATGATGAGAGAGAAGCATTGATTCTGCTTCTTTCTCTGCATGCCCTAACCTGGGGATTGAGCTCGCAAGCCAGGATGTGCCTTGACTGGGAATCGAACCTGGCCTCCTGGTTCATAGATCAACCACCAAGTTACACCAGACAGGCTCCCTTTTTAAAAAATTTAACACAGAAATGTATAATATAACTTATTTTAAAGGATTCATACACTGCAGATGTATGTGGATAAAACATGCAAGTTTCTCTTTATTATTATTCCACAGTCCCACTCTGTGATAGTAACCATCAGTAATAATATGGCTTTAGTATTTTATTCTGTCTGCATTTATATATTCACATGTACATATACACAGGGACACATAGAATATAGAAGATACACATATATACATAGAATACAGAAGATACACGTATATACATCTTGTCCTTCAAACATGTCTCCAGCATCCTCTCACGCTACCACAATGTAGTTTGCCCCCTTCTTTTTAATGACTGAGTGACATTCAATGGCATTGGCAATTTTTTCCAACCTAAGTCTTATTGGAAACTCAAAGGGGGTTTCCAGTTTTACACTATACAAATTGCAATAAGATCTTCATTCCTTAATTCTCAGACCCTAATTAAGGGTGTTGATCTCAAACTCCACTTGATATAGACGAAGCCTCACAGAGATACAGAGATGGACCTACAGAGCACAAGGGGGCTTGTCTATGTTATTGTCTGAATCTCTTTCCCCTCTATAAGCTTTGCTTCCTTGACTGAACTGTACACTTTTGAAGGCAGAGGCATGTCCAAGATTTCTTAGAATGTCTCATGGATCCTAGAGCATGTAGGGTAATGCAATGTACAGGGGTTCTAAACAGAGCTAATGAATAAATCCATGAATATGTATCAATGAAGGAACGTTTCTCTTTGTTTTCTAATCAGCTACAATTCTCAAATCAAATTCCACATGGCCCAAAGTACCTGTGTTTTTAAAAGATTTGGAAGACAGTAAATAAAGGATAAGCCCTGGCCACAAGTCATCTTCCTTTGTCAACTATATTCACATCTTACACACTATTTAAACTTCCAATTTTCTTTTTGCTTCATTTTCAGACCTTTACAATTCTAGAAGAAGCTATCAACATATTAAATGTACAAAATTATTTTGTATCAAAAGAATTATTATAATAATTTTCCAAGTTTAAAAAACTTTTAAAACAATTTTTCTTATCGTTTATCAGTTATCAGCTATACCTCCTTAAGTTTTAGTTCCTGTTTCCCAATTTATTACTTATTTTTCCTCTATCCCCATTTGTTATCCTCTTTTAACTTACAGTCTAGCAGTAGAACATATTAAATTAAAATGATTTTCTGCCTCTCCCAAATCAGAAATTCATAGTTTAAGCAGCAAGCTTAAGCTGGAAATTAGTATCCTAAGAGCTGAGATGAGGCGTGAATTGTGGAGAGAATCTCAACAGAAAACAGAGTAAGGAAAGCAAACTTCTTTTTAGGTCTTCCTGAACAATGACAACTTTAGAGCCTTTCCCCATCACTAAGAATGCTATATTGTTAATTTGTAAAACAGATATGTTTTGATTCAAATATAAACTCAAAACCATTTCCAGAGCAAGATATAAAGTTTTGTTTTTTGTTTTTTGCTTAAAAAAAAATATTTAATTGATTTTTTTACAGAGAGGAAAGGAGAGGGATAGAGAGTTAGAAACATTGATAAGAAACATCGATCAGCTGCCTCCTGCACACCTCCTTGACCAGAATGGAACCTGGGACCTTTCAGTCCGCAGGCCTAAGCTCTATCCACTGAGCCAAACTGGTTAGGGCAAGAAATAAAGATTTTTTAAACATTATTCATAACATTTTTCTTTTTCTGAACATCACAGCCCTCCTCCCCTCTCCCCCTGACGTACAATATTTATTGGCTTCACTGGACTCAAACACAATCCAAGTTTCTTTCCTGGTTCATTGAGTAATATTACTCAGCAGTTCCTAATTCTTTTGGGGGAAAGACATGCAAAGTCTTTTGAACTAATGATGCTGTTTGAGTTAGCAGGTACCGGGAAGGAGGAACACATGTAGCAGAAGATCATCAACTCATTGTCTTAATCAGCAACTATATTTTGTCACAAAGGACACATTGTCAGCAAGACTCATGAGTAAGCATTGACAAGTTTCTTGAATCATTCAAATTTTACAAGCTTATTAGTCAGCATTTGAGGTAAATACATTTTTATTAGCTTTCATTTAGTTAATAAATTTTGATTATTTAATATGTTCCAGACATTACAAAAATTCTTTTCATTGTGTGACTTAGTCATTTAACTATTTCTGTTTATAAAGTGAGACCGCAAATATTTGTGCAAAGTAGTGAGATATAAATACTAATCTATCACTACTACTATAGCTAACAGCTATCATTGTCTCCATATAATTTTCTTTGATAACCTTGAATAGAAACACAGTACAGACTCTGATGAACTGGCAATACAGAAGTGGATAACAAATTTTTAAAATCATTATTAAATCCAAAGAAATTATCTTTCAAAATTATAACTTAAATGAATGCTAGAAAATTAGTGTCAGAAGTTCTAAGGCTTAAAAAAAAAGTTCTAGTGCATAAAAATAACTTGATAGCCTTTTTATGAATCTTGCATTGTCACCCTGGTGGGTTTTTTGGATTTTTTGTGTGTGTGTGTGTGTGTGTGTGTGTGTGTGTGTGTGTGTGGTTAGTTACTTTATCTCTTTTCCCTTTAAGACATTGTGTAAATAGCAGTGTCATCCAGGAAACTAGCACATTTTGTAAAACTCAAGACATAATTTATCTGTTAGCTATTTTAGCAGAAAATAGCCAGAGACATTGGAGGACCAATTTCCATTAAAATTAAGATATATATTAACTCTGACTGACATAGGATATTTTAAACTGACACTTCCCAAGTATAAGCTATTTTCTGCAAATTAGTTGTAAAAGAAATTGGTGCAGATGATCCCAGGGATAATAAAAACTTGAGTAAGTTTGTCAAAACACTTTCATCAATAGATTGAAGTTATAGTCAACAAAAGATTCCCTATAAGTACTGAAATCAAATATTGTTATTTTTATATAACTGAGTTGACAAGAATGATCCAGGCCTCAATTAACTGGGTCTCATTCCATTGTGCTGTATACTGCATGGAGGTGAAACATGGGAGGGAGAGTGAGTAGAGAGGATGAAGCAGTTGAGAGGGTATATCTTCTTCAATGCTATCCTATATAATAAAAGGGTATATGCAAATTGACCCTAATGGCAGAATAACCAGAACAACCACTCAACCAGTCACTATGAGGTGCACTGACACCTCTCGGTTCCTTTCCCTGGCCAGCAGGCTCTCATTGCCCAATGGGGAACCAGGGGTGGGTAGTGGGGGATGCAGCAGTGCCAGGCTAAGGCCCCTGCCCTACTGGTGGCTCCACATACAGACGGTGACCCATGGTGGGGGCAGGGCCAGTGAGCGGGCGGGAACCTCTCAGTCCCTCTCCCCAGCTGGCAGGCTCTGATGGCAAATTGGGAACCCGGGGTGAGTGGCAGTGGAGGGCAGAGCTGGCTGACAGCAGCTGGGGAAGATGGCCCTGATCACAGGCCAGGCCTAGGGACCATACCCAAGCACAAATTTTGTGCACTGGGCCTCTAGTTTATTATAAAGGATCACTTTAATGTTTTGCAGCCTGAGAATTTTTATTTTATGCTGATTAATATCGCTTGTGGAACATTAGATGTGTGATGCTTCTCTTTGGATCTTTTATTCTGTATAACAAGCCAACCCCAAACGTAGTGGTTTATAACAGTTTATTATTTCTGATAATTCGGTATGCTAATGAGAGGTTCTTCTGCTGTCATCCTGCTTGAGCTTACGTAAGTGGGTGTAGTCAGGAGGCAACTGAAATGGCTTTAAAGTCCAAAATGACCTAATTTACATGGGAGGAGGTTGACTAAGATTTCTGCTGAGGCACCTTGGTCCTCCTGCTCCTCCTCTTCTTTTAAGAAGCATTATTTTATTTCTCAGGAATAAATAAAGAATGAATGAGATGATGGAATGAAAAAGGGAGGGGGGGAGAGAAGGAAAGGAAGGGAGACAAAAGGAGAATAGGTAAGAAAAAGAAAAGAAAAGTGAATCCTGGCTGGTATGCCTCAGTGGCTGACTATGGACTCATGAAGCCAGAGGTCACTGGTTTGATTCCCAGTCAGTACACATGCCCAAGTTGCAGGCTGGATCCCCAGTAGA